TGTTTTTGAAGAGTGTGCATGTGCATAAATACCTAAGGGAACCCCGGAGTATGACGTAAGAGGGAACCTGCGATTAATCAAACATCAAATAAAGCAAAATGACAGGGAACAAAACATAGTAAATTAGTCATCAGGTGCCATGTTCAATACAGCAGCATCTCAGAGATCTCGAATCAATTAATTAGCAGAAGTTATTACTCCACCACATGCGTGTGACGTCATTAACAACGGCCCTAAATTGTTGAACTACCTTGCGTTCCATTCGGAAGGGCTCATCCCTATGCCCTAATCACTTCAAAGGGTTTACCCTCCGGAGTGAGAGCTTTGAAGGGTTGAAGGGTGTAGGAGACCAAACAGCTGTTTCTTGAAGTGCCCTTCTGCGTCATCATCCTGTGCCTACACGGAGGCGCCGTCATCATGCAAAGAATCTGTGCAAAGGATCATGGGAGCCTGAAGTGTCCATCAGTTGTACCCTTCGAAATCCTTCATTCCGAAGGGTCCTTTGAAGTGGCCAGTTTTGAGCACTTCGGTTTGGAATGACCCTTCAATATGGTGGCCATGATTGTTTTCACTCCGAAGTGCCCTTCGAAGGGCGATATATCCTGTTTGGAACTAATGTGGTTCAAACAACGGAGATGCGACCATGTTCGGGAAACAGTCGTGACTGGACAGTCGGGAAATAGACCCCATATTAAAAAGTGCAGCAAACAGTAAAACTATTTGCACTACAAACCAGTGTGTTTATGATTATGGTAATAAATTAAAATAATACAATGACAAATTCAAAAGTTTGCAACTTCAAGCAGCATACTGGTCTAGCAATGGTCAAGTCTAGCACATTGCACAAAGCATTACTGTATGCAGAACTTTAATAGAAGTAGAAATGTAATAGCTAACAGTAGGTTGTTCATGTATTCCATGCATAAAAATTTGCATATTGTATATTGCACAGTATACAAACAGAAATAGCACAAGTTGTATAATAGCATGCTTCTGACCATAGCCTGTGAGTGCACATCATTTATAACACGTTTCAGGTGTAACCTTTAGTAAGGCAGAAAACCAACTGCACTTTTAAACATGTCAAATAAATTAGTCAATCCACATTCTTTTGCATTGAAAACCTGACCTCTCCCCATTAGTCAGTGCTCACCATCCTCTAGCATCTCCACGGTAACAGGCAGTGACGGGCGGCTGGCCCCCATGAGCGAGTAGGCCACTACATAGAAAGTGTAGGCTGTGTGAGGGAGCAGCTCCTTTACGTGCAGCTCTGTTGTATCATTATTCACTGCAAACTGATACTCCATGTTGTCTGAGCCTGTCAACACACAAATAGACAGTACATTTGCTTTTTAAAGATTTGACGTAGCCAAAATATGTTTTACGACAACCTTTTGGGTATGAGTTTCTAAATGAAGAGAAGAGTGACCACATCAGTAACAGTGGAGCTTACATATGGCTTGTGGTTCTGTACAGCCACGTGGACTGATCCACTTAAGCTGGCTACATTTAGTGTAATGAGAAACACTGGAGGTCAAACAGGGACTCCAGTAACTTCTAGTAACAAAGTGCTCACAGAAAGTTGTGTAAAATTTGAGAACAAATTAATGTTCTTTCAAATTAAACCAGTGTTATTATAGTATTATTTATATACTATTATAGTATTTATCAATATTTACATTCATATAATTTTAGTTTTAATAATTTTGTTATGTGCTTGTCATTTTTTATATTTTTTATTTTCCTCTAAATATTTCTGTTAGTTTCAATTTGTAGTATAGATTTAGTTCGTTATTTTAGTTTCATTTAGTTGCCAAGACAACATTTCAAATTTTCATCCAATATTTCATTACAATATTTTATTGTATTTCAGCTTTATTTAAATAAAAAATATGTTTAATGAATAGTTTTTGTTAACAATAACAACAATGATTTAAACACATTATGAATACGGTTGGGAACCGAGAACCAATTTTTATTCAGAATGTTTTTGTTTAACAAAAATAAAAAATACTCCAAACCAAATAATGTTCAAACCATTTTTTTCAAATGCCAAACCTACAGAATATTTTAGACCATCAACTGTGAGACACTGTAAATCAGTGTAATTATTGACTGTTTGACAATGTGTAGTTAAAGATAGATTATGCATTTTGTAGTATTTTTAAAATATTAATTAACATAATGTGTTACAACATTATAAATTATCTCGCCATTATTTTTCACCAGTATTTCTTTACTCCCCTTTCTGAATTATGAAATACATACAAACGCACTCTCTCTCTCTCACCTGCTGTGCGTTGGTAGTGTACTGAAAATCCGATTATCTGGTCACTGTTATGTTCAGGTGGGTCCCAGGTGAGCAGTGCAGAAGTGCTAGAGTGGGGTATGGCCGACACATGACGAGGAGGGCTAGGCAGCCCCTCCCTCACAATGACAGACAGCTTGGCAGTGGCACAGGCAGTGCCCAGGCTGTTGGCAGCAATACACTGGTAGTATCCCGCATCGTCCAGCCGCAGCTGGTTGATGAGCAGAACTCCAGGGTTCTGAGTCTTAACCCGGGCATTAGACTGGACCGGTTCACCATTCTTCAGCCAGCGCAGAGCAGGGGGAGGGTCACCAGAACTATTACACACAAACCGAGCTGTATTCCCCCGGGACAGGGACACCGCCTCTGGGGGCTGGAGGATGACTGGTGGAGCTGGGCAAAATGACAGTGGGGAAAAAAAGACAATGAGAAGTGGTTTAAAAGATCATAAATTGAGGATGATATAGAAATATTGCTACAACTTATTAATGCATTAGGTACCATGAACTAACATTAATGTAGGTTAATGTTAAAATAATTATAATATTTGTAGTAATGTTTGTAATGTTTAAATTAAAGGAATAGTTTGCCCAAAAATGAAAATTTTCTGAAAATGTACTCACCCTCAGGCCATCCAAGATGTAGATGAGTTTGTTTCTTCATCGGAACAGATTTGGAGACATTTAGCATTACATCACTTTCTCACCAATAGATCCTCTGCAGTGAATGGTTGCCGTCAGAATGAGAGTCCAAACAGATGATAAATACATCAATAATTCAAACTCAATCCACTGCTCGATTTGTGTTATTGTTTTTATCAGATGTTTGAACTCTCATTCTGACGGCACCCATTCACTGCAGAAGATAAGTGAGATCATGCTAAATTCTTTCAAATCTGTTTAGATGAAGAAACCAATTCATCTACATCTTGGATGGACTGAGGGCGAGTAAATTCTCAGCCAACTTTCATTTTTGGGTGTCTTATTCCTTTAACTTATGTTAATGTTAACTTGGAAATGAAACTTGCAGTGTACCCATCTTCTGAAAAAATAAAAGTGTATATAGAAATGAACTAAGATTCATTTATTGTTTCTTGAAAGTTCATATTAGCTATTGTAATAACTATAGGTGATACAGAATAAGGGTTAGAGTAATCATGTATAAATAAGCCAATGGGTAAAAATTTTATTACACCCATAAAATTAGTCTTATTGTAGGTTCAAACATGTCAGGAAGCTATAAACTTAAGTATACTTTTTCAAGGATTAAAAAAAAATCTACAACTATTTTTTCCCCCTGCAAAACAGATGGGCATCAATTAGCTGAAGCCTCCCCTAGTGTGTAAAATAGCTTCTTGATGTAAAGGTTGGAGCATATTTTTTGGAGGAATAATTATATTGTACTTCCATGCAGAACATTTCTTGACTGTTTTATGTTTTTTTGCTTGAGATTGCTTCTTTATAAATGAGTTATTCTTTATGAAAGATAAATAACATTTCCCAAGCATCTAGCAAAATCAAAAGATCAGTCAGTGTATGCACTGCATTTAGTGTATACATGGCCACAAATTTCCTCTTCGGTCTGACCAAAACACAGAAGTGGAGTTGTTGTTCAAACAATCTTTGACAAACCTCATTAGATAGTGTTTAGTAATGGAAGATTCCACATAAATGTGCAGTTCAGAAACAATGATCTTGATCCTTGTGATTATTCCAGTGACCATTTATTGTCTTTTTCTCATTGTGCATGAGGGAAATAGGTATATGTATCTTCCTTGCTAAAACTTGCATGTTTTGGACAAACACAAACACAGTAAGCACTACCTAAAATAATAAACAATAGTATTGCCATAATGATTTTGCTACCATGATGTGTGTGTGTATACCATTTATATATAACACTTATGAATTTTACATCCAGTCAGCAAGGTCAGCAACCATCTTTTTTACCATCAGTTTCTTTTTACCAGAAAGAGTATTGATTTTACTCATGGTGACAAGCCAAAGGGGATTCTATAATACATTTTATAACCCAGGGAAAAATAAACTGGCAAGCACACAGTTCCTGAAGATATTTTCAAGGACAATGAAAATTTGAAAACTAAAATAAAACTACTAGCCAATGAATTGTTTTGTGCTTGATAAATAAGGGATACAGCTTCCCTTATGTTTGATTCACTGATTCTGAATCAATAAGACTCATTGTATATTTGGTGCATTTACAATCCTTCAGTAATGTATCCAGTATTTATTCAGAATATGTAGGATTCATTAAAAGGAAAACACACAAACAGTTACCCAGTACTCGAAGTTCAGCAGGAGATGAGACGAAATCTCTGGTCTTGGGTTTGTTGGCACGACACACATACACTCCAGCATGGTGACTGCGGGTGTCAGGAATCACTAGGTTGGTTGCCAAGACAACCACATCTGTAGCTATAGGCTTCCCATCTATGCATCCCAAAGAAGAGGTTGTGTAAAAAGAAAGCAAAAAAATGAAAAAGAAAATGAAAAATCAATCAATCAAGACTGAGCAAGCAGGGACATTTAAAATTTTAAGTATACAGCTATCCATATGAAGAACAGCACCCTTGAAAAAGCCCTATTATTGGATTTAGCCACATGTCACTACTGTAGGTGTATCCAAGTCTCATGTACTATTAATAAAAATTTAATTAAAAAAACATTAATAAAAATGTTAAGGTGTTAAAGGAATAGCTAATGTAAAGTCGAAATTTAATATTGTCATCAATTACTCACCCTCATGTTGTTTCAAATCTGAATACAATGCAATTACAATGAAGGGGGACGACTGTTTAATATTCCAATAAGCACCACAGTATCATAAAGTGTCCATACAACAGCTCTCATTTTGTGACAAGCCAGAAAGAAAGTCTTGTGTGTCTGAAGCATGATGAACCACATCATGAACCAGCAGAGGTCAGTACAGCACTGGAGGAGGTTTGGCGTGCATTAATGACTCCTAGACACTGACCGTCTGCAGAGCTAGCGCTCAAACAAAGAAAAAAAAGACACCTCGTGATTTTTACAATATCTTCTTAATTTTTCATGAAACCTAATGAGAATAATGCTCTCAGTTATACAGTCTTGGCATTATTGTGGGGGGAAGAGGACAAAACGAGGTCCGTAATGAACCTGGATGGAGGCAGTAACAGTGGGGATGAAGGGTTGGGTGTGTAGTTGGGGTGTCTGCTGCAGCAGAGCCACGTGTCTACAGACCAAATTTATAAGCTCACCTATAAATCACAATTTGTGTGTTTCTCAAAGTTCAGTGGACACAGCACTAATTACAACTCATTAATTCAGCTGACACTTTTATCCAATACAACAATGCACTTATTACAAGCACAATGTCTCCTAATCAACCCAAGGGCTTAAGTGCTTTATTCAAAGGCACAGCAATGTCTGTCTGTCTGTCTGTCTGTCTGTCTGTCTATCTAAATTGTGTGCACATGCACTCCATCCATCTATGTGCCTGGGTCCAACTATTTCTGGTTTGGAGTTCTTAAATCTTAATTTGACATATTCCATCCTGATTGGACAATACCAATCAGGTTGGCTGACATGTTCTTGTTTATGGGCCAAGTTCAGGCGCAACGTACAGGCCAGGTACACGTGCAGACTCCTAAAAACCTTCAACTTGTCAGTTAAGTCTAGATCTGTCAACAGCAGCACTTTCAGTCTGTTACAGTAGACCGGGCTACAGACTAGTGTGTGTAATATATTTGTGTTTGCGTCTTACCCTGTCTGCTCCATGATACGAAAGGTTTGGGTTCACCCTGAGCCATGCACTCCATCACAGCCGGACGACCCATGACCACTGTAGAGTTCCGTGGTGGAGCCACAATCACCACCTCACTCTCCTGAGACACACCTGTGAGATGCAGATTATGAGTCTGTGTTCGTACAGTATATAGGATAAATATAGGATATAGTATTCACCATCAGGCACAGTGGTTTGCTTGAAAGCAGCACTAGGTGAAGCAAATGACCCAACAGAGGACACTGTTTCCTCTTATGTTCACAGGAAGTGAGAGAGACAGACATAGAGTGAGATTGGATTGAGGAGAGGAGGAAAGAGTAATGAAATGTGATGGAGAGATTGATATAATGAGGCCAAAGAGGATAGGTGTCATTTATCTAGGTTGCAGCTGTCATATATAAATAAAATATATAAATTTAAAATAATATATTAAAAAAATATATTTTATACAATTGAGAATTTTATTATATATAAGGGTGCATTAAATTGATCAAAAGTGACAGTAGATATTTATAATGTTACATTATAACAGATATGTTATAATGTTATTTAAAATATTTCCATTTCAAATAAATGCTGCTCTTTTGAACTTTCTATTCATTAAAGAATCCTGAAAAACATTTATCACAATTTTCACAAAAATATTAAGCAGCACAAAACTGTTTTTAACATTTATATTAATAAGAAATGTTGCATGTTCAAAAAATCTGTATAAAATTTAAATTAATGCTAAAATTAAATAGTAAGCTGCTAAAAATTCAGCTTTTACATTAAAATATAAAAAGGAAACGGTAATTTAACATAATAATATTATTTCTCAATATTACTGTTTTACTGTATTTTAAGTCAAACAAATGCAGGCCTGCTGAAAAATAAATAAATAAATAAATCAAACATTTAAAAAAATTGTACCAACCCCAAACTTATGTTGTGTATTATGTTATGTATTTATATACGTATATAAATATATATATATATATATATATA